TCTTCTAGACATTTTAAGCGCTCAATTGTTTTTATTTATTTAAAATAGATTTTTTTTTTCATGTTCGTTAGATGTCATTGAGAATTTGTTTGTGTTTGTAATGACTCCTATTTTATTTATTTATTTTTTCATGTTCGTTAGATGTCATTGAGAATTTGTTTGTGTTTGTAATGACTCCTATTTTATTGATTTATTTATTTATTATTTATTATCTCAATTACCGTTTTAATTAACTACCTGTTCTTTTTTTGCATATCGCATACTTATGTATTGTATATGTAATGTTGACAAATCTTATGTCATAGCTATTTATGACCAAAAGACAATAAAGACTATCTACCTATCTATCTATCTTTATTCAAAAACACCGTCATATTTAGTAAACAAATTCATACACATAGAAGGAATACGCATTGCATTAATATTAGATATAGAAAAACTTTTTCAATTCCACGCCACAACACATCTCTATTTCAGAATACATATATTTACAATGCGATCAAGTCATATAATTCTTTAGACCGCAGTTTGAAAGAAACCGATTCATTACCCAAATTCAAGAAGAAAGTGAAAAAAGTTTTACTTGATCAGCAGCGAAATCTGTTGTAGCCCATAAGTGGCCTCATATTTTCCTTATGCCTTTACTTAGACTATACTTTATTCTGTCGTTATTGTATACAGGTATTAATTTTCAACAAATTCTTTATTATACATCTCGTATTGTTAAGGGGGTTAGATGGTAGAATAGATATATTATCTAAATCCCATCTCCTGTAATAATATTACAAATAAAAGACGTTAATTATTATTATTATTATTATTCCTGGTATTATCCATGAAACGGCATTTGTAAACAACGACAAAATACGGGTAGATTATTATCATTTATTACAATTATTTTACTATTTACCCGCAAATGGACGTATTCGAAAAATTGTTTGACAAATGTCAACAGCTGTCGGAAGTTGGGATCATTCCCCAGTAACTCAAGTCCTTCGGTTCAGGAATAGGGGATCTTGAGCCTTATCTCACTTTTATTAAACACCCCTTTTGATCTGTATATCGGAATGTTCTGCCGTAGCTTTCTTGTCACACCTTCTTCATCATTCCGTCCCTACACAGCTCCTGTTGAGACTCCCCAATCAGCACCTATCAGCTACTCCAGTGGCTGAGTGTTGATGTTATCAAGTTAAATGGGGCGCAAACCAAAGCGTTAGCGGCCGCGGTGGCAATAGCGATCGCGGTGGCGTCACAAAGCTGACTACATGTCCGCAAACCAATGCGATTTTTCAGCGACAAATTTAGTACCATTAAGAGTATTCAGAATTAAAGTATGCAATGAGTGCACAGGATATAGAAGAAGAAGCTTTGCTTTTGGCTTTTTTAGTGGATGAAGATGAGGAAAGGCGAAGGTAAGTATGTAAACAAATTAATAATAATAATAAGAATAGGAAAATATTACAAATCCAAAATGTATTAAGTTATCATTTACATTTATTTTTTTGTTTAAGACAAAGGATCTGGGTTCGTGATATCAATTGTCGCGACGAAAGCAAGTTCTACCGCAGGCCGTAAGATGACCGCGGTAGAACGCCGCAAAGAGAGCGGATGCGTCACTTAAATCTACTCGATGCTGCCCGTGATCGCAATTTCTGAAAAAGTGTGCCGAAATAAATTTCTTTTTTTCATCAACATGAACGCTTCATCAGCTTTTCAAAAGCTAGTATTTATTTTGAAAATATATTGAACTGAGTCTCTTGCAAGAAAATAAGTCCAATATAAGATCATTTGATTGAACCAAAGTCGCTAAATAGCTCAGCAAAGGACATTTTTCTGAAACAAATTAGTAACAATTAGAAAATTGCAGAAGCATTTGAGCATTCTTGAATGCATTACTTTCTGGATGTTGAGAATCTCAAAAGCCTCAATTTTTCAGATTTACCATTATGCATTTGGAGTAAAGAATAAAGTGTAGAAGTCAACGATTTCTGGTGATTTTTTGTACTAACAAATTAGCCATTATGCTGACATAAGAATGCATGTCAGTGTGGCTGTATAGTCGTCTTAACATCCAGTAGGATGCGCCACATCCTCCTCTTAACAGTAAGTAAATTGATTATTCACTCGATGTTTCATACAGAGTGAGCATTCCGTAATTTTATTTATGTCAATGAATATATTAAGGAGAATTTTGTACAAACTCTGTTATTTTCAATGAAATGCTAGGTAACGACGTCATGTCAATCTATCGGATCAGGTTTCATCCATGCTTCGACTATAGTCAACGCCAAACAAAGTGGCGTGCACGTCATCACGATAAAAATTCCCCGACCTAATGCCTAGGTTTCTATCACAAACAATTGCTCTATTGCAGTTTCATATTAATGTGATATATACATATAAATTGTAAAATGGTCATTACTCTCTTACTATGGTTAATAGTCATATAAACATTGTTATTAAAATATCACATAAGTTGCTTTCTGATAAATTTAGACGCATTATGCGAAATAAAATGTTTTGCAAACGCTCCAATCACTTATCGACATGTAAACGCACTAAACCGATTTCGCAGCGTTGACACATTGTGACCTTGAAACTTATTTAAACTGGGAACTGACATTTGTATTAATTTTGACACTGAATCAATTTGTGGCATTTCAAATCTTTATAAATCCTTTGGCCCCGCATACTGTAAATCAACAACTGTTTGTTTCAAAACAAAATTATTTATTTTACGAGTAGATAAAGGCAATTTTGGTATATAAAGATACCCAAACAGTTAAATAGTCGGCGTAAGGAACTCGTGGCCTCGTTAATGCACTACTTTGAGCAAGAAAGGGACAACAACGGGCCTTTGTTGCCTTTAAATGCTGTTCAAGAGATAGGTTACTAATAATTATATGTAATGTATATTAATAATAGTGAAATTTTATTTCATTTTTTGTAGCGTGTTGCTGCTGCTTTAAAAATTAGTTTAAGGGCAGTTAGTCGTATTTCCGAGGGTGTGAAAAGTGATGCAAATTTAGAATCGCCCAAGAAAAAGCGGAGTTATATTAAACGTGTAACCAACACAGCGACATTGGATACAAGTGCCATTCGAGAAGTGATCTATAATATGTATCACAAAAGTAAGATCTTATTATAATAACTTATCAGAAATTTGCATTAATTTGTTAACTAAATCATAATGTCATATTACACATAGTTTCAGAAGAACAAGTTACGATACAAACTTTATGGTCTCGATTAAGAGATAGGGCATTATTTGATGGTAGTGCCACGTCTTTAAGGCGGTTGCTTAGAGATCTTGGATTTAAGTGGCTTAAGGACAATCCGCGACGAGGGCTCATGGAACTACCAAGTATAGCTTTGAAAAGGGTGGAATTTCTAAGACAATACAATCAAGCCAAGGTTGAGGCCTTATACCAGTTTGTCTTCCTCGATGAAACTTGGATATTTCAAAATGGGACCACAGGTCGCTCTTGGCAAAATGGAAACCAAAAAAGCGTGAAAGCTATTAAAACAGATGGTAAAAGGTATGTACTTTTACACAATTTGCACTATAAAATTTAAAACTAATATATTTTAGATACATTATATTACATGCTGGAAATGAAAATGGGTTTATTGAATGTAGTGAAGCGATATTTTCTTCGAAAACAAAATTGAGCGATTACCATGGAGAGATGAACCAGGACAGTTTTTTTAAATGTTTTCAACATCAGTTATTAGAAAAATTGGAGAGTCCATCTATGATTATACTGGATAACGCCCCTTATCACAGCATGATATTGAACAAAGTGCCCAACAATGCATGGACAAAAAAAAATATCCAAGACTGGTTGACAAATCAAAACATACCATTTTTAAACACAATGTTTAAAACAGAGCTATTGAGTATTGTTGCTCGGTACATAATGCTTCTTAATTATATATATCTTGGTCGACAGTTTATATTTCTTTTGTTTATTCCTATTCTTAAAATAACTGCTTTTTTAGAAACAAACCACCTAAAATATACGTGATTGATGAATTGGCGGAACAACATGGGCACAAAGTTCTTCGTCTGCCTCCTTACCATTGTATATTTAACCCTATTGAGTTAATTTGGGGCATAGCAAAAGGTTACTATAACAGACATATTGGTAGAGATGGTAACAGTGAAAAAGACTGTTTGGATATGTGGAACGAGGCTCTACAAACGGTTACCCCAGACATGTGGAAAAATAGTGTTCGACATACTGAGCAAGAAATTTTTAAATGGTATGAAAGAGAACGAATTTTTGATCGACCAGACATCGAACCTTTAATAATCAACTTTGAGAGTGATGAAGATTCAGATTCAGACAGCGCTGAAGAAAGAAACTCCGACTAACTTTATTGTACAGAAAAAGCTTACACCAGTAGCTTACCTAATTTTAGAATGCATTTTTCTGTATGAATTCTGTAAAATAAATACCATGCATAAAATTTGGAGGACCCCATTTGGATTTTTATTCAGTACCTTTAAGCTATCAATTAAATATGGTAGTTTCATAGTGTCATCTGATCAATAATTGTCATACTTAATGATTATGCAAGTACAGATCTATAATTTTATTATACTATTATTTTTTTTCTCATTTGAGGTTAATATTGCTTATAAACCTAGATATGTAAATAATAAATTTTATTATTTTACAAAAAGTTTGGCAACAATGTAAATTTTTCAACACACCCACCTTGATGACGTGCACGCCACTTTGTTTGGCGTTGACTATAGGCCACAAATCATCATTTTGATTGATGGAATACCAACTTTTTGTAGCTGAATCATGTGGCATATGGAGTATTTCTTGATTTAATATGGATTATTAGCCCATATTACAGAACTCGTAAGATTTGTCTCTAGGTTGAGTGACATTTTATAAGAAATCTTACAAAACCGTCAGATCTATTACCCCAAAGATGCCTTTTCTTATTGATCAAATTGGTGCCAACGGCTGATTTTTGATTCCCGCCAGACAATAGTCAAATCGGGCCTAAAGAACACTAACTTTTCTGCACAACCACATCTCGTCTCCCAGTATACCGAGCTATCATCGGGAAATCCCCTTTGGCATCAGCTGTCAGTGAACTCAACAGTTGACTACGGATGTAATCGATGTGCGATACTGTCCACGACCGGCGACCGGAGAACCGTGGGATAACCCGCGAATCATCTTCTACTTAACCGAAAACAACGGTTCATTCGAGATGTTTATATGCTGAGGAAGACGGCGATCTCTTTAGTAACCGCGGTGGAAAAAACGCCGTGACCGCGCGGCACTTGCAAAGTGGCCTTTGGTGTTAGTGGTCGATGAGTTTTGGATAATTGGAACAATATCTGAAAAAAGCTTTACTACAACGTAAGTACAGCTAGGGATTGCAATTCTACAAGAGAGATCTCGCGAAATGCAGGATTCCTCTTCACCTCTTGACCTGCGGAACCGTGTACCTCCAAAAACGTGGAACTTCTGATCCCGCAGGTTTGACCGATACTCTTTTTTCTTTTTCGTTAGAATCCGAATATTTTACTTCATAATTCTTAGTATGATTTTCTATTTATACAGATTAGTTCCCAATGATATGCAAGTCAACTAACTTTTTTCAGTACAAATGATGAGGTTTGCTTTTTTGCATAGTTTATACTGTGCTCTTCACAAAGGTCCCCCTCGTTATTTTTTGAACGGGTCAAGTAAGACAGCTGAAATTCGTAAAAAGAAAATTGATTCATGAATACTAAGTTTTAGGAGAAGTGACAACCGAGCACCATTATTTAGAGACTCCGGTGGATTTGCTCCAAACTTTGTGGTTCGAGCCTCTGCTGATTAAATGTTCTCATCGCACCAACTCCATTTAAAGCAAAAGAAATTGTTCAGAAGAGTTTGGGTATCTATAGTTGATATATCGAGATCGAAAAATCCGCCCATTTTCTTCGCGAAAAGTTTCGAAAGCGAGATATGTTTTGTTGATGTTAAAAGACATACTCATAACGAGAAACCATGTCACAATTCCATCGATAATTCTGTCTGTCGGTCAGTCCGCTGATCTTATAACTGCCTATAACCCGAGAAATGCTATACTACTCAGATTTCGATGAAACTTTTACACAATGTTATTACTATACAAGGACGCTAAAGTTAGATAGTTTTTGTAAATCCGTATAGTGGCAGCAGGGAAAAAAATGCCTAAAGCAAAAAAGTAAAATCGCTCAAACCTCGCTCTTTGACGTTTCACAGGATCCTGACCATTTTCGAAAAAATCTTGGAGAAAAAAAACTTGGGATGGAGTTTGTAGGAGGGAAGGTTTATCTTGTTTTTTGATGTTAGTACATTCATGTGCTTCTAACCTTGATAACTCTGCGCACCTATTAGACATATTTCACACATTATAGATTATATATAGATGTACAGGGAACATTATCCCTTAAAACTATTCTCGGCAGACGAATCGCATATCTATCGGCTGCGACTGCTGCTCCCGGAATCGTGCCGCCAGCCTTGGTGGGTGTTCTGTTGTTCCGCTATGATATCATGCATATTTCTGCCGTGCCACAGCATAGAGTCTCCTATGCTCTGGGATCGTGGAGAGGCGACGTTTTCATATCCACTACAGGTAGGGAAGGGAAGGAATGCCTATGGACTAATCCTAAAGACTTGTTTGACTGACTTTTTCATTAGATCGTCTAGTCTGTGCTGACCATAGTCCTTCACGCCTTGACGCCACTTTTTGCTATGGTTTGGCTAATATTTATTTACATTTCGTTTAATCAGCTTGCTAGTACTAGTTGGCTTTTTAGATAGGTAACACTAAAATATGAATTACATATTTCATCCTGTTTAGTGATCCAAATAAGCAGCCCACTCTCCGTGCAGATGTAGATTTCTTATTCGTGAAGCACATAGGTTGAGCAAAGGTATCCCAGATACCTCTTAAGAAATGATAAAAAACGTTCTCACGTTGTATTTTGAGTCATCCCTAAGTGATATTATAAACAAGGAAGTGTGGATGTTTGCTACTCAATCAGACCAAACGGCTGAACGGATGGGGATGAAATTTGGTACAGAGATCATAGTCTGGAATAGTAACTTTTTTGGCGAAGCTAACTACACGTTCCGTTCTTGCTGTAATAAGAGCATTTGATAACAATAACTGGGATTTGACCTCCCATCCTAACCGCGTCGAACTTCGTACATCCAGAACTGGTCGAGAAGACCGCTGCTTCATCCCTCAGGTATCGAGATTTTGGAGCAATCCACATGAGGAGGACTCTAAGTTCTACTAACCTTGTACAGTTCAAAAGAATGTTGCGTGGTAAAATGGCATTAAACTACATGGATGATCAATTCAACCTTTGTCCTCTTATTTCAGAAATTCAATGGAGTGCGGTTGCCAAACGGAATTCATCGGCCCCAGGCTGGACGCCACATGTGGCGGCGGAGCATTCATCCTCTTCATGTCTCTGCTGGATACATTCCTACGCAACAGGTGCGACATTTCCGAGATATGCGGACGAATCAGACCAAGAACTACGCCTGACGCAGAGTACGACTTCGTGGTCATTGGAGGAGGGAGCGGTGGTGCTACGGCAGCTGGGAGGTTAGCGGAAGTGAGAAATTGGAAGGTGTTGCTGATTGAGGCGGGAGGGGATGAACCCCCAGGAAGTCAGGTTGGTTTAAGGATAAGACGAATATGTATTTCGGCGAGCTTCTTATAGCTCAGTCGGCTGTTTCTAGCACCATCTTATCCATTCCTCTGTATTTGTCCAAGCGTCACCTTCTAGACCTCTTCTCTGTATATCTCGACCGACTTGCTCTTCCTATTCCTCTGGAGGCCTGCCTCTTTCCCTTCGGAAAAGGAGTTTCCAAATTAAGACCTTTTTCGCCCACCGACTAGAAGCCAGCCTGTTGACATGACCGTACCACCTAGATCTGCGCCAATTTCTTCTGTCACCGATAATTTAACGTCCATTTTTCGCTTATTTCATTGTTTCTGATTTTGTCGCAGCTTCTTCGGAAGAAATCAATTTCTGCCACCTCCACCCTTTGCCTATAGTCGAATGCTTTGTATAGTTGCCTGATATATTCTCAGTGTAGTTTAGCTTAGACGAGTAAATATTTTTAATTTGAAATCATTAGTGCTAAGTGAGGTTCCAAGCGCCATAATGAGTCCAAGCCCCTATGAATTCATCATCAGCTCCTCGACTCCTCAAATTGTAAACACTCGTTGGACCATGTTTATACCACACAATATATCTAACTGAATCAACCCATAATTCAAATCATGTTTGCATCAATGTTCGATAATAGGCAAAGACGTTAAAGTAGATGCCTTTGTAGAGTAGAACGAGACATTTAACGTCTTTCTCTGTTATCAACGTTCGATATAAGTAAACTTTTCCTCAATCATGAGGTTGTTATTGTGAGTGTAATCTTACTACTTTTAACCATCTAAGAGGTCGATGGATCCATAGATCTATAAGCTAATGAGGCCTTTTAATCAAGAATCAAAAACGGGTAGGAGTGCGTCATCAGTTCCTAAAGTGATGCTCTTATGGATAATATCAATCTTTTAATTTAAACTCGTGGCTTAGAGATGCCTATCACAGGCCAATTCTTCTTACCGCACTCTCTTATACGGGTTGTTTAAAAAAACCTGGTTATTTTTCTAGAGCAGGAAGTCCATCAAAAAGGAAAAAAATCGAAGATTGGTCTTGAGATGCTACCCTACTAAAATAAAGGCTTAAAGTATCATTTTTAAAATTGAAAATATATATACAGGGTGATTTCGAATTGATTTCTAATTGAATATCAATATTTGAGGAGGCGATTTCTGGGCCCATACAGGGTGATAAAGTTCTCAAAAACAAACCATGCATTATGCATATCTGTAAGTATCACTTCAGGTATCATGGAGAAATTTGGAAAACATGCACTATGTACGTAGGCATGTATGTACCACATTTTTTTGTTTAATTTACATCAGTGACGTTCGTACATTCACCAGCATATTTTGGCAGACATTGGTGGTATGCCATAGATTTACCTTACAATAAAAATTATTCTTGAAATCCTCGATCATTCCTACGCAAAATAAAAACCATTTTTCTGCATGATCATAAGATTATCGTTAGTACGACAATATTACCATGCAGGAAACAGGCTTTCATTTTTTCAGGTGAATACCGTGAGTCGGACTAAAAATGATCGAGAGGCGAAATCTTCTCTTAAATGAACACAGATCTTATTTATTCTTAAATCAAGAAAGGTCGGTGATGCGCTCAATAACTATTTTTCAGAAACCTTACCACCCTGTATCCGAAAAGTTAGAAGTTCACGACAAGTTTTCTTCTCAAAATGGACCACTTGAATATTGACATTCAATTAGGAAACATCCAGTATATTTACGGAGCGGCTAAGGAATGCTGGCTTAAGATCATACATGTTTAGCTAGCACAGCATAAGCAATATGCTCGTAGAAAATACTTTCAACGCCACACCGTGAAGTTTGATGTTGGAAATGAACTATACGGCATATGAATAATACGCATGTCTTGTCCTTAACCATTGTAATATAGGCTTAAGGTATATTTTTAAAACAAACAACATATAAAACTAGTAAAAGTTAACACGACAGCAATAGCATTACATTTCATACTGATTATGTGATCATTTCTAACAATAACTTTTGAGGACAGCATTGAGAACAAAAAATATTAAATTATGTTATAACGTCCAAAGCGCAAGAGGTGTTGAAAGTGACCAACTCTCTTTCTTTTTGGAGTAAGCTTGGCGTAACGTTTTACGCATTTGCCGTTTTGTAAGAATAAGTCAGTGTCTTTTCCTTAAAGCTATATTTATTCTATTTAATAAGTGTCTCCTAGAGTGTTTTGTTATGTTCGTTAAGATAGTCGAGTGCTATTCTTTAATAACGATGAACAGATTAACACTTCTTAATTTAAGTGTTTTCCCGAAAACGCAAGACTCAAGCTTTATGTAGAATCAATGTTGCAATGAGACACTGATATCAATGTTTACAGAATCAAGTACATTACGAAGCACTTCCAAACCTAACTGCGTGAGTTGTCCCCATATCAAAAGGAAAAATGATCAGAATCAGACTTCTTTGGTTTCACGATTGCTATGGACATTAGCTCAACACCAACGGGGATTACTATTTTTTGTACAGACTCATAGAGAGTGGAGTGAAAAACAGCGGGATAATATTCTGGTTAAAAAAAACATTGAAAAAGAACACCAAACTTATGAGGCTTATCAATGTAATAAAAATTACTCAGGATTTCATGCGCATTTTATGAATACACAGGCGAAGACGCCTTTGCTTTTTGGAAATGTCTCTCTTATTTATGACGGAGGTTCAATTACAAATTTTCGAAAAAAATCTCGTTTTGAAAAAATGTGACTGAATCCTAAAATGCTCTTCTGCAAAAAACAAATTTAGTTTACGCCGAAATTTTCGTGATTTTTGTCGATTTACCTTCTGCGTAAATATCCAGTTCTAGTGTTTTCCGATGATTCTGTAGGATGAATCTACAAAGTTCCGACTGTAACTTAGCGCTACAATGCTCTAAGTATCTTTTGATTTCCATTTACCTGAAACAAGAGAATAAATTGCAAATATGAACTCAAGTCACAAGAATACCCGAGATGCTAATTTGGCACTTCCGTAACAATGTTAACCAATGAAACGGATTCCGGATTACTGAAATATTTCAATTTTAGAAACACAAAGGAATAATTATTCTTACCAGTTTAACGACAATAATTTATATCTTATTTAAAACCTCTTAAGCTAATTTGGTAAGCATATAATCACTATGATATAAAACCGTACGTCATTAGCAAAGTACAAAACAGAATATCTACATAACGGATTAGCTGAATAAATTTAACGTATTTTTTTATTAATATATTATATTGCATACTGAATTATTCAGAAATTACATGTATATACCAAGTGTATTCTAACCTCCGTTTCTGAGTATGTTTGTTTAAATTGCTTCACAGAATTAGCTGTTGCACCTGTTGATATACAGAGTCTATCATACATAGTCTGAAACACATTGGAATAGTTGTTTTAACAATACAACATCAATGATATAACGGGTGATTTTTTAAGAGGTATAGGATTTGATTTAAAAAAAAAAACACAAAAAATTTGAAAAAACGATTAAATCTTTATTTGAGTCGATAGAACGGTCGATATAATTTAATGTTTAAAGATTATTTCATGTACATGTTGGCCGCGGCTCCGCTTTAGATTGCACATGCGCAAGGTCCAATTTTGGCACACTCTCTCCAACATATCGGCTGGTATCTCACGAATAAATGCTTCAATATTGGCTTCCAGTGCGTCAATCGTTGCTGGTTTATCCCTGTAGACATTAGCCTTAACATGGCCCCACAAGAAATAGTCCAACGGCGTTAAATCACACGATCTACGCGGCCAATTGACGGGCCCCAAACGTGAGATAAACTGTTCACCGAACTCGCCTCTCAATAGGGCCATTGTTTCGTGTGTGGTGTGGCATGTGGCACCGTCTTGTTGAAACCACATGTTAGCCAAGTCCAGCTCTTCCATTTTGGGCAAAAAAAAGTTTTTTATCATCGCACGGCAGCGCTCTCCATTCACAGTTACGTTCCGGCCATTCTCGTCTTTGAAGAAGTACGGCCCGATGATGCCACCGGCCCATAATCCACACCAAACAGTTATTTTTTCGGGATACATTGGTAGCTCTTGCAATGCTTCCGGCTGGTCTTCACTCCAGATGCGGCAATTTTGCTTGTTAACGTACCCATTCAACCAGAAATGAACTTCGTCGCTAAACACAATTTTTCGATAAAAATGTGGATGTTCCTCCAACTTTGCCAGCGCCCATTCACCAAATGGGAAACGTTGTGGGAAGTCGTGCGGCTTCAATTCTTGCACCAGCTGTATCTTATAAGGTTTTATACCCAAATCCTGTCGCAAAATTGTCCACGTAGTGGAGTAACAGAGGCCCAATTGCTGCGAACGGCGGCGAATCGACATTTCACGGTCATCACTAACACGGATACACCCACAATACTATCTTCAGTCCTTACTCTACGTCTGCTTGTTGGTGGTTTAATGTCTAATGATGTAAACTAGGTTCGAAATTTAGTCACAAGCTTCCGTATAGCTCCCTCAGTAGGGCGGTAAAATTGCCCATTAATTGGAAGCAGTGCTCGATGCACTCTCTTAACCGAGCATGAATTTTGATAGTAAAATTCAATAATTTGCAAGCGTTGTTCGTTCGTAAGTCGATTCATGGTTAAATTGTAGGCCAAACTGAACAAGTTTGACAATGACACAAGACACGATTCACGCGTCATCTGTCAAAAACAGTGTTGCCAAAAGGATACTAGCAAAAAAATCACCCATTAGAAATCCAGTTTCTTAGTAAAGTGTTTTTTGAATGAGGTGAAACCTGTGTCTTATTAATCATTAATAGTCATTTCATAAAATGAGGATAATGCAACTCGAGAGAAAGCAGCAATCTGCGATAACCATGTTTACCGGAATAATCTGAACTAAAAAAAAATGGCGTCAAGTGGTGGGATGTACATTTCTCACGCAACGTCACCAGTTCATCATCAGTTCAAAAAGGATTATGATCAGAACAAGTTAGACCCAATCGAAGTAAGACAGTACCACCCTCGATAGCGGATAGATGCTCTTGTTTGTTGTCCCAGAGACCAACGCTAGACTATGTTGATGAGTTGACTAAAAAGCACGAAACAGCTGTCTATGCTTAGCAGCCTGGTTGAACAGACGAAAGCAGCATGTTAGAGTTAGACCTCTCAAAACGGATCAAGTTCATCGAACAGGTCTGTACAATTCGTCCATAACATTATTTCTCTGCCCTAACCATAGACTCGCTCATCTGACAACGTCGCGTCGTTTCTTCTCCATATCTGAAGCCATGATACAGGGATGCTTGTCAAAAACATTTTTCTATCGTTCTAAGTTTCAATGGCAAATGTTCTGGGCAATCTATGTTGTGTGAAATATGTCCAATAGGTGTGTAGACTTGTCAATGTTGCAAATAACAAATATCACACACACACACACCCTCCTACCCTGTGCGGTCCCTCCACCATTCCTGTTCCAGGCAACCTCAAACCCTTGAGGAGTGAGGGGAAGAGCAATCAGCTCCTCCCTCCTCTCCCGCCCGAAGGCCTGGCGTGGCGCTACGTGGTTCAGGCCGCTGCGCATTCCCCGAGTGTGTGCTGCCGAACGAGCTAACCCCCCTCCCCCATTTTGCCCCTTTTTCCCGAAATTTGACTCGATCGCGCACGCGTCGCGGAAGCACGTGGTGGGCGTTTCATCCAACTGTTGGTTCTCCCCCGCATTTAGGTTGGTGAGCCTTCGCTCTTTCCTCGTCGACTGGAGTCGGTCGTCAGTCAGTCATTTGCTGTTTGTATTCGTCTCCTGAGGTTAGCCCCGAGTCCGTGCTTGACTCTGGCCACCTCAATCGACAGGCTTCTTTTTGTCCACCCGTTGTACACGGGCTGTTTTTTCCCCTCTTGGGTGTACAACTATTGTCGGTCTTCTCCCCTTTTCTTTGGCCTCATCAGCTGCTAGGGTCAAATTTCTTCTTGTTGTAGCTGGCTTTTCGGTCTTTTATGACGCCTTATTGTTCGTGGGTCGTAATCAAAAGCATCTTTAATCAGCACATTTCGATGTCTTTCGTTTTTTTCAAAGAATTTTCGGGCCCTCTCTTTCATCTGGATTACGACCGGTACCTGTCGTAGTTCGTTATATAGCACTCTGTTAGGTACATACCACGGTGCGGCCACCGCCTTACAGAGTGCTATGCTTTGTTGAGCTTGGAGCCTCTTCTTCATCTTTTTGGAAACGTAGCCCCAAGCTACTGCTGCGTAAATCATGATTTGGAGCAGCACCATCTGAATCATGATGGTCTTATTCTTTAAGGACACTTTGCTTCTTCTGCCTATTATAGGTCTTAGTTTGGAGAGTGCCATCTTCACTTTCTGCACCTGGCCCTCGACATGGTTCTTCCAAGTGAGTTTTTGGTCCACCTTGACTCCAAGGTGCGTGCTGGAGTCCTTCCAATCGACCTCAACTTCTTCGTCTCTTCTCCATTCTGGTGGTCGTCATCTTTAAGAAATATCAATATACTGATCAGACCCTTTAAAACGTCAAAATAGGAAGTTTGGGCGTTTTTAATTGTTTTTTTGTTTCTGGCCTTTTTCCTCATCGCCACCGGACCGATTTTCGAAGATTCGCAAAGCATTATATCTCTAGGATAGTAGTAGACATTTTCTTAAAATTTCATCAAAATCCGACCGGTGCTTTCGAAATTATTGACGGGCCAAGGAATATCGGACAGATACAGTCCGAATTTTTTCGCGATTACAATACTTTCTCGCCAATAGGCGTCGGTAGTAGAAAGGACATGCACAGTTTCACTCCTGTGAGTGATCTCTAGCACTAAATCAATTTATTGTTTGTGTTGTCACATAAGATTATCCTGTCCAGTAGCTGATAATCCTCTAAGATTATCTTGGTCCTTCCACCAAGCCAGATGACCCATTTTTATTTAAAATATTCACTAGCTCCAACCTTCTCACTGTATCTAACGCTTAACTCATAGATGACTTCGTTGATGGTAGTGAGAGGGATATCATGCTGACTCACTTCACTGGATACGTATTATGGTGTGTCGGCGATCACTCTGGACTTTGTTCTGCAACGACTCAAAGATGGCAATATTGATGTTGTCGCTGTCCCCCATAACTGGACGTCGTACATTAATTTTAGCAAAGCATTGTTGAGTAATAGCTTGTGATCTAATTACGGCTTAGACTTCCTACCAATAGTCAGAGGCATTCATCCGAGCTATATACCTATTTGTTTCCGTTTTGAGAAAATGGGCATCTCCCGTGTAAGCCTTATTTTTAAACGGAATCCGAGATGCCTCGCTTGATTTGATTGTGGAATTTCTAAGCTATTACTTATCACTAATAGACATGTTTTCCTACATAAGGTGAATGTCATACGTGTGGACCCAATTTCATTAACATTTATGTGCCATTTCTTCAGCCGGTTTCTTTGGAGATTCTCGCTGCCATGTCTGGATTCTCATGGAATGCTAAACCAGCCATATCATGATGCATACGTCACTTGAAATTGAAAATCAAAAGTAGGCTCTAAAATACTTCCGTGCTTTACGTAGAAGTACCTGTTTCTCAGGTACAATTTCCAAAAGATGTTATCAGTATGAGGGGGGGGGGTATGCTTCAATTTGAAGTGCTGGCCTTTGTAGCAAGCTTTGTCAAATCGATAAAGGTTGCTAAAACCTGCAATAACAGTTACTGTAATACCAAGTTGCTGAAGGCTTATCGGTCTATACAAAGCGACTTCATTAGGGTTTCAGGATGATTTTAATCTGGGTAACCTTTCAATTAATACGATATTAATTCAGTCGAAATATCGCGTTAACTATTTATGTTATGAGGTTTGTGGGATTTTTGCATAATATGTATTCCCCAGTGGTGAGGTCAAATTCAAGAGCCTCTTCTCTGTTTATCTCACTCTTAGTTACTCTCAGAGTAACGTCCTGCTTAATTTTCTTGCCAGATAACTAAATCTGAAACAGCAAATTATTCTATTGCATGGTATTTCCTGTCTTCAGTGCATTGAGCAGGATACGGATTGCAAAATTTTCTGCAAATATTCAACAAAGATGATCGCCTTTCCTGCATCACTTTCTGTACAGTCATTTAAATGCTTCTTTATTGAATGGGTGGGTGTTGGACACCTTCTCTCGAAACCCTCCAAAGCGAGAAACTCGTAACTTCTACGGTTTTGAAATTTTCAAGAAACTGTTGAATTTTTGCACTCTAACAATTTTTGTATTGCATCTTTGCACGCTTAATTAAAATTATCATTGTTTAGCATAGTTCTTGGTTGTTGCCTTGGTGTAGATAGTATAGTTGACTCATCCAGAATCATCTTAATATTATACAGATTAGGCAAATTTTCGATTTCAGTAATTTAGAACAGATTGAGGTTATGATAGGAGAATGGTCCGATGATAAACCGAAGGAAGCGGTTGCTATGCATTTCGTTCTATCTACCGCTTTTGTAACACATATATCAATTCCATCAGGTATTTCAGTTTTATCTGAAGCCCATAGAAAGATTAAAGTGCGACATGACGCAAGTGAATATGGGATATGTGTATTTGTAGAAGAATATTATAGCTGAGATAATTCTTTAGAAGGTGTCAGCTCCACTTTGTACATTTCGCTTTTGATGTATCAAACGTATTGTATGTCTCAGGTCCCTTCAATGGTGGTGAGCTTCCATGGTGACCCACACATGGACTGGAAATACAAGACCGAACCTGAGCCAGTAGCGTGCCAAGGCTTCCCAGAGAAGAGGTGTGAATGGCCCAGAGGAAAAGTCCTAGGCGGATGCAGTGTGATCAATGGGATGATGTATACTAGAGGCACACCAAGAGGTGATAATACAGACTAACGGCCCAACTATCAAATAATACGCAATGTCGATCATTATGTGTTTCACTTTATTCTAGACTGATAAAATTGAGCGCAAAACAGATAATACAGTGCCTTCCAAGAAAAACGCACATACCTTATTTTTCGATAAGTGAAATTGGCAAGCTGAATTTCAAAGTGATGCAATTATTAATGCACGAACACTATATTTTATTGTGGAGTGACAGTTGAAAATCTCATGATAGCGATATGGCGCCATTTTGCAATATATTTTTATGGAATGGGGCGCCACATCATTTCTCATCTTGTAGCTCCTTGTTAGTACATTATAGCCCCAGAATCTAAAGTCGCTATCATTAAAATGGCTGACTGGTAGACTATCAAAGTTGAGCGTTTTTATGTGTTAAATTGCTTGTAACTAATCATCATACACACATTCTCCTTCCTTTTCTTGAACGGTCTATCGGAACGTGCAATAACATGGATGACATTTTGTTTTGAAAGGGTTAAAGTATTTTGCATTTTTCGACAAAATGTTCCACATTGTGTTACGTATTTGGATATATCATTTCAATACAAGAAGACTGGCATGACAAGTATAACGTTTTTATGACTAACTGTTGAGGTACGAGCAATGCAATTGACAAAAAAGCTCAACTTTGACAGCTTGTCAGTCTGTCATAAAAAAAGGAAGAAAGAAATAAAGTATCTCGTGACCCACCATTCCATTCAGAAACTGTTCCACCTTAACTTTAACGTTGCGCCCGAAAAGCAGCTTGCTAGCTTGACCACTTCAAAAAATAAGTAGGGGGAGGGTGCAGTTTGAAAAGTACTGTATGTATATACAAACCAACCTCCTGGCTTGCCTATTAAAATAAAAGTCCTTGAACCCAGTATCCTATTTGCCTTGTCTAGCTATTAATTTCCATGCACTTGATTTTTTTATTCCCTATCTGTTAGGGAGACATAATGTCCTCTTCTCAAAGCATTATAACGAAAGGAAACATAATTGAAGGGCTTGGGGCAACAAGGGACCTAAGCCGCTCTGACATTGTTTCGAGAAATCGGACATTGTAAATTTTATGTAAATCCTGAAATCATGCTCATTTCTATATTTAGCCAGGACTGACATAATACGTTTAAAACTACAACCTGATGACAACTGCGTAGAGAAAATTTAACATATTTTCTTGAAAATAATTTATTTTGCAAAATTCTGTGGCTTGGTATCTTATTACAAAAGAAAATCTGCATTATAAGGATAACTCAAAAAACTGCGATTATAATAAGTATTCATGTTCCTTTATTCAATATCCGCCGCTTCTTCATCACCATATATGTTCTCAACTCCCTCTTCTCCTTCTGTCTGTTCATAATCTGACTCTGCTGCAATAGTATCTCCCACAATATCTACAAAAAACTGCTGACTGACGGGTGGGATGTATTTTAAGAACTTTTTCAGATCCTGGATCTTCTTGACATTCAGTGCTACAGGGACATCGTATTTTGGTATCAGATTATTCAAGATTCGTTGGTCTCCTAGTCTAGATCCCCTTTTACCCACATTTACCTCAAGAAATTCTCCGTTAAGGTTGTGTTTTATGAACACAGAATTTGGATGTTCACTGTCAAACTTGAAACAACGCACTTCACTGAATTTGTTGGGCTCCTTACCTACAGTGTCGTTTTTTTCCGCCATACAGAATCGAATTTATAGAAGTCTTATTGTTGCATTAAGACTGTGTCAAATGGATTCTTCCTATTTGATTTCTTCACAATGTCCACCCAATCTTCTGGACAGTATACCTGCTTAATATACTTTTTATGTTTTTCAATGATAGCAAAATCTCTATCTGAAGGTAAGTGAGTATGGCCAGAAATGAGGAAACGGTGTTCAATTGACTTAACAATTTTTCTCGGACAAGTTGCAGCCACAGAGACATGATCACCCAGTTTTTGTTCTGTCCCCCGCAATAATCCGTAAAAACCACTAGGTGCCCTTTGGTGGAAGACTTCTCTTGTAAGTATTTTAGTAAGATGCTTGCAGTCTCTTCACTTCCCCTTTTTGCAGTAGTTTCGGCCCACAAAAACATACTACCTTTGCCACTGACACCATCGTGAATGCCAAGGTTGTATGTCCAAGCACTGCGTAGATAAAAAGCAGGGCCCACAGTGAGCGAAGGCGTGGGAAGAGTCTGCTGCAAATCAAAGGATATAATATCCTTCGTGTAATTTTTTGCATTGTCTAATACTTCTTTGCTCAAACTTTCCTGCATGACAACTGCTCTCGTCTGATGAAGCTGCAGTTGTATCCTGAGTTTGTTATATCCATCTTGGTTTTCTTTGTTGGCTTCCATTTGGTTATTTAGGAGATCGCACGTATGACAAGTATCACTCTTGGGCAACTTAAAACCTATGTTGTACTCAGAGCAGAATATTCTCCTATACCGGTCTTCTTTTACTGGTGCTATTGCACGTTCCTTGCACCATTCAACATAATAATCCTTGTACAGTGTCGATATGTTGAGGCCGTGCTTCAAAAATACTCTGCTTGGGTTGACTTTCCGACTATAATGACTCACATGTTTTGGAATGGCTTGAATGTGGTCATGTACAGACTGAACTCTTTCTGCAGACGTTCTGTTGGGCCTGTTTTGGTGTTTGCCTCTGCCATCCCTCTTTGGAGTTGTTCTGCCTTCAGAAATTTGCCGAGCAAGAAATTTCAATCGCTTACTGGAGTTTTGAAGGCCATGGACAGATAAAAACTCGGTTTTACATATTTGAACGTCAACTACATTTGCCTTGACGAAATATGGATTCGTTACTTTTCGAGCCGATTCCTGCCGTTTAGTCTTCTTTTTGTAGCTTCTCTTTTTCGGTATAACTTTTAGAGTAGAAAATAGATAAGTATTTTGTTGGTCATAAGTGTTCAAGTCCAAAAATGAGTTGAATATACTGGGTTCAGTTCCTTGGAGAAGTTGTCTGCAGTTCTTCTTGCACTGGCATGAGGGACCTAATACTCTAGCTTCTCGTTGTCGACCTCTAGAATCTAAGTAACTGTGGCCAAGATTTCTACGTGTTCGTGATTTTACTTTTGCTCTGCCTTCAACACCTTGTTTTCTCGATCTAGATTTTTTTGGTTTCTCCGGAGTAAAGGTCTTTCCTCTACTTACAACCACCTAAAAGCAGTTTTTGAGTTTTCAGCCCTAGCTGTTGCTTCTTTCAGTCCAACGTAAGAACTTATTGAAATATACTGATATTTTATAAAATTGCCCAAAAATTTTATCATTACTTTGGAACACCGAAAAAGGTCACAAGCCACAAAATTAATTTAGTTGGTGAAGAAGGGCATAAGCCACTCATACAAAATATACGTAATTTTGACACGTATTGAAGTTATTTGCGGTCTGCGTTAGCCCTCATAAATTACGATTAAAATATATTTTCATTAAAAATTAGTCTAAACACATCTACTGGTATGGTGCGACTAATATTATAAAAAGTCGTTTCTACACGTAAAAAAGCATAAGCCACATCTGTAACGGCAATAAGGCCATAAGCCACAAATTTATTTATTCACCTGAGATCCTCGTTCAGTGTTACTTTCGGAACTGCTACAACTCGGATGGTAATCTCTGTCTTTCACACTATCATCTGAGCTAAATTCATCACTTCGCTCTCTGTATTACTGAAATACGTATTATTCTCATCAGTGATCAACTTTCGCTTGGCGGCCATCTTGACATCTGTGTGGCTTATGTCCTTTTCGGCGTAAAAATGTGTGGAAATATTGGTTTGTCAAAAATGCCCTGCATGAATAATGGCGGCATCTATCGACGAATTGCCAAACAAAAATCAATTTCAGGCATAGATAGCTACAGTACCGATGCGCCTGAATAAAAATGTAGATTTTTGTTCAAATGTGGCTTAGGTCGCTTGATGCCCCAAGCCCTTCAATTGTTTCCACTGTAATTGTGTTGTCACTCTAGATTACGACAACTGGGAGGCAGCTGGAAACCCAGGTTGGAGCTACAGAGACGTTCTGCCGGTATTCAAGAGGTTTGAAGACAACAAAGACATTGGAACTATCGTGGAGGCAGAGTATCATGGTAGAGGTGGTCCTTTAACTACATCTAGGTTCAACGACCAACCAGAAATGGCTCACGATATCCTGAAAGCTGCTAAGGAGGCAGGGTACAAAGTAACGAATGACCTGAACGGGAGGGATTTCTCTGGTTTCACTATAGCCCAGGCTAACACTAGGTAATGTTTTTTCACTTAGCAACGCCATTCAAAAATTCATATCCCTGATGGTAAAAAGACATCCTACGTCCTCCCGATATACAAAAATAACCTCCGGATTATATATTACTAGAATCGACTACAGCGAAAGTGAGTAGTAGCTGTCTATTGGAACTCTAAGAGTATCTCAGATTCCGTCGACTCCGCCAATTATTGCGATGTAGTACATAATAGTCTACCCGCCAGTAATACTGTTTTCGTCAGTCCGACCAACGGGCCATGTTTCGAGCTATTCCATATTTATTGGCGATCATCAGCAAGATCTGCTTCTGAGGTCGAACAACAAATGAAAGCAGAGGAAAGGTTTCACTGCCGTTTGAGGAATGATCTCTCCATGCATTTGGAGCAAACAAAATCATTTATGAAACTTTTATTTTCGTTATTTCCAAACGTACAGCATTTCCAAATGTTCAACTTTTACATGATTTTTCGAATTTTCACGATCCTGAATACTGTCAAAATTTAGACTTGAACCTGAAACCTGAAGTTCTGAAAATTTTAAGGACTTGTTCTGAAAATATCGAAAATCATGCAAGTTTCGAAAACTTTCTGCATTTTGGTAACCTCGATACCAAATATTTACATCCTCTGAAAGTAGTTGGGAACTTATGGAACGTCAAAGAATAAAGTTTGTGCAATTTTTATTTTGTTCATTCTTGGCCTATAGCTCTGCCGCCATAAGATCGATTTTCCATTATTAAAAAACTTGTTCTTCTTGTGTCAGAATTTCATCACCCTTTAGTTACACACAGTATATGAATCTGTAAATGAAAAAAAGTGACATCTGGAAAATATTATCCAGTGCAGTGTAGCTAATAATCTGTGATCCAGTGAGTCAAGTGTACCTGAAAAAGATCACCGTTGGTACCGAAACGTCCTGCAATGAAGAGGAATTTACACATACATGTGGTAGGGTCAGGCGTACCAAGCATTTCATGCAAACTGAAAAAAAACAGACATCTTATTTTCGAAATGTTAGAGGTAACAATATTTCGTCGACTATTGATGCAGGAAGTAAAAATAATAGAATTGTAATGACAAAACAGTCAACCCCAACAAAACCACCGAAACGGAAATATCAGAATCTTGCACAAAAAGTACCACTAATGGAAAAATAAATTCCAATGCCAGGTCTGTTGATGAAAGCAAATCAATATTTATTAAAACAACTGTAAGTTAATTCTTTGTTTTGAGTTGTACGAACATAAACATTGTGTGGGAGCACAATGGAGGAAAGCGTATGTAACAAGATGGACTAACAATGAGTGCGCTAATAAGCAAACTTTGCTTCAGATTCATTTAGTTTACTTGTATGTATAAATATCCTTAACAAAGGAGACTTTAGCCTGGCTAAATGAAAAAGTCCAACTCATAACAAGCAAAGTTTATGAATACTTCATGGAGTCAATACGGGGTTTTTCTGACATGTATTTTAATGTGTGTACCATTTAACATGTTTGTTTTCTGTATAAGACAAATTGATAGCATTAATGAAATTTGAGCATCTCTAATCAGGGAATTTGTAACCGTTATATATAGATAGTCTAGAAATGAGAAAGTATTTGAAATTGCAACGCAAGATAAGGCACCTAAGGATTGTGGAACCATTTAAAAAAAATCCATATACATTGAAAAACTACCCTTTCTTATAGTACTTTTTATTGCTGCCAGTGTGATTCATTGAGAATTTTACAGCAACATATGGTGTGCCACTGCTTTTTCTCGTATTGGAAATTATTTTTATGTGTGTTATTGATCGTTTAAGCCAATTCGAATTCTCGATATCTCACTGACGCACGGTTTTTGCTTTACTATTAGGTTGTTTGTTTCCACATGACCTATGACCACGCACAGTCTACCGATTAAAAGCATTTCCTAAATACAGCTAGTATAGAACATTACCCAACATTCCGCGATTAATTGACTTCAAAATGATAATGCAAGCGAAACGTCAGTAATTGTCCCCCTTCCAACACCTGCGGCTTCAATCATTGGTCAAACAAATCGTGATTAGAAAGCTGGTCATAGACATCGTTTTACTTTCCACGCCTACTGGCGAGAAAGTATTGTAATAGCGAAATATTCGGAAATGAGATATTATGTTTTTTGTATGTTATATGACATGTACAACCCAACTAGCAAAGTAGTGGTATAAGCTTTTCGTAAAAGAACCGTTCAGCCATAAAAGCTCTCCATTGTTGTTGCCTGAACACCAAAATGCTGGCTTAATGTTGTGTGGAATGCAAATTTGCTTTCTGCGACATATTTGCTCTAAAATGAGGTGTTTAAAATATTCTTATAGCATAGTTATACCACACCTTATAGGGCAATTTTTTAACTGTTGCATAAATGTTTATACAACTATTTTATACGGCATATTTGCAAGTTAGTTAAAATGGTTGTGTTGTGGCACCCATGCTAACGTTTATAAAACAAACCCGAGCCTTGTTGCTTTGCTGTACAATTTACTACATTAGCCAACAAATTGCTCCCAACGGAAGCACTTATTCAACTGTTACATATGCTAAATATGTTGGTAAACAACTTCACCATAACCTAACTTTCTGCTGTCATATTTTTGTTAAAATGCCATAACCAAATTTTTAAGACAAACAACGCGTGCATATCGGTTGAAAAGGTTTTATCAACTGTTCAAACAGAAGATATAGATCTGGTACAAATTCTGGGTAAATCATTCGACTCTGTCGGTATTTCATTTCAGACATTTGTCAACACCAAAATATTCTAATAACCTAAAGACAACATGAACGATGCCATGATTGTACACAACCACCCGCCATATTGGGCAAACATTTATTCCTCTATTTAATACTAAATAATTATGTTTCAGTTCGAAATTACAGATATAAAGTGATAAACATTAGTGTAATTGTGTCTAAATATAGGATTTAAAAATCTAGACATACTTTTGATCATCGTCAAAATATGAATCAAATACGAAGCCCGTAGAAATTGGGTAACTAATTTGCACCATAATCACAATAAAATTTGCTGCGCAAGTAATTCAATAGCCCTATATCAAAGTGTAGAAGTTTATCATATACATGTGTATCAAATTCACAATGGCCGATATGTAAGTAAACAAGATGACTGTAATGTGTTAGTTATATATTCTTCACTTCGTCTATACAATACATAGGAAATAGTTTGGTTGCAATAAAGTAGAATCATGTAACAGAATAGTTGGATAGTTGACAAATACTGAATCTTGCACTAACGCAACTGTTCTTTAGCGGCTGTAAGAGGTTTACACTTTTTTTTGTATAACTGTTACCTGCAGCCCTTATACAACCTCTTAAATGACTGAAGCGTCCTATTAGGTGTGCCCATTCCGCTTGTATAGCTGTTCTAAGAGGGTTTTGCTAATGTTCTTACAGTATACAATGCTGTTTAAGGAATACTGTATAATCATTCTTGCAACTCTAATAGGAGTGATAATTGTTAGTTGGGAATTCTACATCGCCAAAAGCCATATAACCCATTTCAGTCGGTCTGTCTGTCTGTCTGCGAATCATGGGCCCATTTATAACTTGGAAAGCGCCGATCGGATTCTGATCAAATTTCCATACATAGTTGCCACTATGCCAAGGATGAAAGAAGATTGAGGTTTTTTGAGATTGATGTATTGGCGGTGGACGAAGACTCTAAAGAAACAAAAAAATAAAAATCGCTCAAACTTCGTTTTTTGACGTTTCAGAGGATGCTAGGGGGTAGGGAATTGTAGGGGGTGAGGATATCGCAATTTTTGGATGTTAGTATAGTAATACACTTCTTTCAACTTCGAAAATTCTACAAACCTTTTAGACATATTTCACACATCATAGGTTACCCCAGCAGATCGCCGGCAGCTCGTCGGTGTGGAACAGTACTCGGAACTGTCACTAGATTTTTTCCAGCAAAATGTTCAATTTATGTTCAGAACCCGCATCGTCGAGTAACATGATTCCAATAAGAACAAGGTAGTATAGACCCTACTGGAACGACGTTTCTAATTCTGTGTATCATAACCTACAAAATGCTAATTTCAGCACACGGTTTTCTGTTGCGTATTTGATTTGGTTTCCACCATTCACGGAAGTTAAGGAGTTTCTTGATAGTATGCTACAAAAAAATGAAGAACATAGCAGTATAATATAAATATACAAAAAAGCAATTATCTTTACCTCAAGATGTACATTTTTTTACTTCAAATGTAAACCACTAACGAATTATGCAAAAATAAACAAGCACAAACGCAGACAAGAATTCAGACCTCCAAAATGTTCCCGACATTTGTTAATCAATAGTCTGTGTGTTACTGTGAAAGCCTGGTGAATGTCGAGATCGACCAGTGAATGTCGACATTTACCAGGTTGCTTGGCGTATATCCGGATCATTGGATATATATCATTATCTCTGGCATGCACGGGCGAATGTCAAAATGCTTTTGGTGTATGTTGAAAAACTTATTTTTATGAAGTATAATTAAAGGTAAAACTTTTATACTATTAGACAGGTATACTTTTATATACCGGTAAAAAGAGGTCAATCCGTTAACCACATATTCTTTGGGTGAAAATAATAGGACCCTCGTATGACCACTATTCATTTTGAGATTTCCTGTTTTTGCCAATAATTCTGGCATTTCTCAAAATATTCAAATACAGTTTATAACATACATTTATTTCATTAAAGCACGCCTTTCACGATTTTTTTTTAAAACAAGGGATAATAGCAATATAAAAGTCCTATTATTTCCACCCAACGAGTATGTGGTTAACGGATGGTTCTTCTTTTACCGGACACTCTGTATATGTAAAAAATGTTCTAATAAACATAAGAACATTATTGTTGTACTTGAAACAAGCAGCTCAAATAGCGAAGGGTAACTAAAATAATATCAGCATTACAGCCATATACAAACAGTATCAATTATTTATATAAATTCGACCTTCACCGTGAGCCATTTGTGTTTGTCAACATACGCCGGTGATTCTCCGAAACTATAATGATATTTACAAAAGTCCGGTCTTTCACCATGTCGACACTCACCGGTGAATGTTAATCTTGTGTGTACTATGAATGTTCCAAACCTTATTCACAATACATTCTTCAATATTCGAATCAGTTTCGAAAAAAAGCCACATGAATAAAATAAGCCGGAACATGAATTGCTGATACGAATTTTTTTAGAACGCGCATGCGCGTGTTTCCCGCACGTGTTGGAATAAACCTTATACATCTATTTGAACTGAAATCTCTATTGTAGGTCCAGACACAGTGAAATAAACAACAAAACCTTGTCCGTTGGAACTTTTTTCACAACTGGCATTTACTACTCAAATGAATGCACGCTTTCGTCCGTTACAAAGAAACATGTCGTATGTAATGAAAGCTAGACTGAATCCGAAAAAGAACTTTTTACATTTTTATTAGATTTCAAATATTACAGACTGCACGATGAAATACGCGTGTTTGTATAGGGACGCTATTATACTTTCAAATTAATTAAACTTGAAAGCTTTCCAAAGTACTTCCATAACAATGGAATTTTTATTTTACTATATATGTACATAACATTGTATGAGCGATATGTATGAATATGAATCATGTTATTTTTGGAATGTGCGTTGTAAAATCCCTGGAAAAATCTGATAAAACGTGCACTGGGCACACGCAGGATTGAGCCGTAATTTAGTATGAGGCTTATTTATTCAGTTCGTACGAGACACAGTTTATTGGTCAAATAATGTTGTTGAAGTATGCTGGAATTTGGACCGAAAGAAATATATGTAGCAAACTGGAAAGATTTAGGAGATGCAACATAGTCGCTGAGAAGTCCTTTACTACATGACACATACTCTTGAAAGCGAAGGAGTGGAATCGCTAAAAAAAAGGTGGCGTAGTGTTCTTTTCTGGGAGATGATCCCAAACTCTGCCAGCTTCTGACATTTGTCAAACAACTTTTCGGATTGTTTTAAGTGCTGCCACTGCTTGAGATATATTTTAGAAGGTAGGAACTTCCTCATCCAAAAAGTAGTAGGACCCCTTTATGACCTCCTTGATTTTCATAGACCTTCCTTTCCTTCACAAAAGCTGGGGTATTTAAAGATTTCTACTGTTCCGTGTCCTCCTCAGCGCTTTCCTATTGTGAAGTTATTTTTTTAATTGTAGTAAATTTCAGGCTGATAAAGCAGATGATATAAATCAAAAGCATGAACAATTTGATGCAAATAGATGTTTGTAACATAACCTCAAAATAGAGCGCTAACACGAAACAGTAGAAAACAGTGAAAATCAAGACAACCAGCGATATAACTAAGAAATATTTGCCTTATTACAGAAACGGTGTCCGACTAAGTAGCGCAAGAGCATATATCCGCCCAAATAGAAACAATCCCAATCTTCACGTCATGCTCAACTCCACAGCCTCGAAGATCTTGATAAAACAAAACGGAAACCAAAAGGTTGTCCAAGGGGTAGAATTTATCTATAAAGGGCGACCTTACACAGTGAAGGTCAAGAAAGAAGTGGTCTTGGCTGCTGGAGCTATCAACTCACCACAGATTTTACTGTTGTCAGGAATAGGACCTAAAGATGAACTAGATAAGGTGGGAATTAAACAAGTTCATGACTTGCCGGGAGTTGGGAAGAATCTGAGGAATCACGTGGCTTTTTATATGACGTTTGATTTGAAAAAGTTGAAGGACTACAGCGATTTGGATTGGGCCAATGCTTTAGAGTACATTTTGGAAAAGAAGGGACCGATGTCATCTACAGGTAAGTGTCTAAGTCTTAAGAGAAATGTCGGTATCTAATGCTGAAGTATAGAAGAGGCGGCCCAAGTAGGAACAGTCTAAACGACAATGACTATTCCATGAGATGTAAGGCTCCACGCGGTGTGTACAGTAATAAAACCTAACTCTTTGTGGCCACGTTCATATCTTTATTATAAAATGACTCGTTTTATATTAAATCACAAATATCGTACAGTATATTTTCACCAACATTACACAGCCGGTCATTATCGGTGCTATACCTGACACCTTTACAGATTTGTCAAATCACAAAAATCAGACAGCACTCGGACCGGTAACACCATTGATTAAGATCCTTACTAGGTAAAACTAAGCCCGTCCTGAGAATCACATTTCCAATGCTGCCCCAGCTGTGCAATAATCTAGAATATATGCTTTTTCACTATTTTGATCACTTAATAGTAATTTGAATTTCTCTTCATTAATGGTAGAGTGCTCATTCCTGGGGAAAACCATTTTGATTTTTTTTTGGTAAATTCCATAGTTTATTGATTGTGATATTTCACACGTATTATATCTTTCTTTCTCGGTGATTCAGAATTGTGTTGGAAAAAAATTTGGTTCTTCTCCGTTACTTGATTTTCTATCGAACATAACTTCTTCAAGGCCACTCATTGAACCTTCCTTTATAAGGTTAGGTGTTTCATTTCAGACATTATGAAAGTCACCAAAAGAAAATCATTGAATAGAGTTTGGCCTAGGAATGGGCAATCTACCGTTAATAAAGAGAAATTCAATTCACCAGAAAGTGATAAAAATATTAAAAAAACATTTTTGTGCTTGATAGTCCCACATCGTATGTTGATGGTTTCAGTAAGGTGCGTGTAGCTGTTTCTCTGGCTATAAATTGATTCCCTTTAACTTCTTTATATGACCTGCTACAAGAAAAAGTTGCATATAAAAGTTATATGTTCCAATATGAAGTTGGTAATGTAATACTTTTTTTGTATACTGAATATCTAACAAAAGTTCGATCCAATGAAGTTTTTTTTAACGGAACACCCTGTATTTTCTGGGAAAAGGATAGACAAGTAATATATAAATAAAAAGCAATATTACATAAAAAACTTCATATTAGACTCTATAACGTTAATATATAACTTTTTCCGCTGGGAACAGGTAGAGGCGGGAGGGGGGGTCAGTTTATGACCGGACCTAACGTTCCAACAAGCTGAGCTGTTGCTACCTATTATTTTGTTGCTGATCGTATACAACCTGTAATTATAGTTATATAAGAATTTCAGTAAATTGACTATGAACTGATCTTCATAAGACAACAGTTCAATTCTTATTTTGAAATTATTTTTTTCCTGACTGTTAGTTTTTTTAAGGGATGTCTCAGGTGACAGCCCGTATCAACTCGCCTCTAGCAGAGCCAAGTGGGAAAGATCCCGACCTACAGATTTTCTTTGCTGGATTTTTAGCACAATGCGCTCATACTGGAGAAGTTAGAGCTGCAGCTGATCCTGAGCACCCTGAACAAGCTAAAACCCTAACTGTTTCACCAGTTACGTTACATCCCAAAAGTAAAGGATATATTGGTAAGTACATTCTACTTCCTACACCACTGGGCGAGGAAGTATCGTAATCGCGGAAGATCCAAAAAAGTAGTATTGTGTTTTTTGAGTGTTATATGAAATGTAAATTAGAAAAACCATGTCCTCCTTTCTTATCAGTATGTCGGTCTGTGTGACTATCTGTCTGCCCAAAAATCCTTGGCCCGTCTATAACTTTTATTTTGATGAATTTCTAAACAAAGTTACTACTATGGAACGACGAAAAAGCTTTGTAGCTTTTTGAAAAGTGGTCCAGTAAGGGCGGAGAGACTATCCAAAAAGAAAAAAAAAATCTTCAAACTTGACATCTCAGAGGGTCCTGATAATTTCCAGAGAAAATTAGGTAGGGGTTGAAATTTTGGGGTAGGGAATTATGGCGGGTGTGGAATGGCATTTGAAAATTGTTTGATTTAATAATATTTATACATTACCATAATTCTATGCACTGATCATTCGTATTTCCCACATCATAGAGTTCCCCCTACGTCTGCCTTTAGAGAATAGAGTGATAGGGAAATAATTTCGATTCGCGTACACCTACTGTCGAAGATCACCGCCCGACGAACCGATCCGGCTGACTAATCTATCGTTACTGCAGCGCAAAAGAATATATATACGGACCACGCACAAAATGAACGGTAACTCGCAGCATTGATGCCGCGAAGACCTGGAAAGGGACAACGTTGCCAGATCGAAAATAACTACTAATAGGATAGAGATCAATTGTATGGGCATATTCGTATCTAACTTTTCCCTCAGAGGGTTTAAATTGCGTTGAACTTACGCCTTTCTTTCCATGGTTTCAAAGATGTGTTGTCACTATACCTATTTTAAAACACGGTTAGATGATTTATATAACCTTGGGCTGATCTGAGATTCAGACATATTTATAATTGTGGTAATATGCTCTGTCACTCGTACCCAAAGTCTTCAGTCAGGCTCTGTTAGGTTCATCAACTAGGAACATTGACTAGCTGAGCTATTTTAGAAGCCATTTTACTGTACCTCTAGAACTAGCATTAGATAATGAAAATTTTAGAGCATTTTAGGTCTTCTGTGTTGAGCACTACTATATCGGATTTCTATTTTATTGTAGGTTTAAAATCAAAGGATCCGCTCAAACCTCCTGTTATGGTGGCTAACTATTTAACCGCTCCAGAAGATGCAGCTGTATTGGTCGAAGGGGTGAGAGTTATTCAAAGATTAGCAAATACTACGGTGTTACGACAAAAATATGGGATACAGCTGCAGAGGGAGGAATACGGAGATTGTGCTAGGAAATACGGGTAGGTCAAGACGTAAAATTCCATATTTTTAGACTGTTTAGATCTACCATCGACGGACAATCCATAGCAAGAGAACAACCCACGCAACTGGGTTCGTAGACGCACAAAGTTAACTACTTAGTCACCGAGCTGCTTAAGCTGAGACTGACACAAATAAAAGCCTGAAGATGCTGGATACTTTCCTCCTTTTATTCTAACTGCTGATGATTCCAGGTATGACACGGACAAATTCTGGCACTGCGCTGTCAGGTACTATACCGGTCCAGAAAATCATCAGGCCTGCTCTTGTAAAATGGGCCCTGCATCCGAACGTCTTGCTGTAGTGGATAACAAGCTGTCTCTCCATGGAATAGATGGTATTCGAATAATGGACGCTTCTGCAATGCCAATATTGGTTTCAGGTAAGGCTTTAAGACATTAATCAAATTTTCTAAATAATATGTTCCTCCAAATGATTCTGAATCAAAAAGGCTGGCCTATTCTGTAAGCTGGATGTAGGAGGTAGTTTCTTCATTAGAGATCTACTGAACTGCTGTAACTTAGCAAGTACCTGTATCTCTTAATAACTGCACTAGGCAACATACGTGTAATATAGCTCGTCTCTAAGACTAGCTCAAGCTTCAATAGCATACGCATATCTTCTCTAATATGACGAAAATGATTAATATTGTCAGAAGAAATTGCGTCCAAACGCAAAGTACAAGATTCAACTAATATAGATAGATAATTTATTTGCCAGAAGATACAGGGTGATTTACCAGTCGTGACCAAAAATGAAACATCATACGTAGGACGGCATTTTAACGGAAGTCTTCTATGTAACAATTTTCCCTCGAGGGCTTCATTAGAAAAATACGGGGTGTTGAAGTTTGAAAATAAAAAACAATAATTTTTAATATCTTCGAAACTGTCAACTGGACTCAAATAAAATTTGGTATGTAAATTTACCCACGAATTGTCCAGATTCAAAAGTTATTACTTAAGCTTAACGTGGACCAGTGGCGGAGATACAGAGGATTAGAAATATTATTTTTCCAAATTAAAATAGTACGCTACTCTTTGTTTTTGCGAAATGCACAATTTTTCGAGTTTTATTTTCAATTTGGTACAAATACTTACTCTTTATAAAACCAATTAGATCATACATGATGAGCCGAGATACAATTAGTTTCAAAATAAAATCCGAGGCCTTGATAGCAACGTGACGTTTCTTGGCAGGCAGTTTGTCAAAATTATGTGTTATACGGTTTTTATCGTTACTAATATGTTTTTGTAAAAGTCAAGTAAACAGGTTATTTTTTATATTTTTGAGTGTTGTGAAATGAAATTTAGCAAATGATAGTATTATCTATATGTACGATTTCGGTAATGGAAATGCGTCAGCGGCTTCTCGAGAGTATCAACGTATCAGACGCCAGCCTACCCCAACGGTTTTTACGCGTTCATTTCTAAGACTTCGGCAATATGGAATAGCCAAACTTCCCGGAGTTAGAGGCCATGGTGTTCGGCATAGTGTGCAAGAGGAACTGGAAGTGGTTAATTTGGCGTTGGATGATCCTAATGCAAGTACTAGGCGGACTACAGTCCAGTTACTATGTTCTCAAAGTCTTGCGTGGAGAATTTTAAATCGGGAAGCTTTACATCCTTATCATCAGCAAAATGTGCAATGTCTTCAACCCGGCGAGAGGTCTCCTGATTTGAACCCTCTGGATTTCTTTTTGTGGGACGCTTTTAAGCAACTAGTGTATTCTGAACAAATTAATACTGTGACAAGAAAGAATAGATACTGCGTTCCATCAAATTCCAGCCAAAACAAATTTTGCGAAAATACCTTTTTCTTTATTCAAAAGATGCCGCACTTGTATACGTCAGAATGGTGATCTTTTGTTTAACATTCATTGAAATAAAGCTTTGATTATATAATGTTTTTTTTATTTTTACGAAAACAATGCATTTTAGGAAAAAAATACAGGAGTAATTACTCGTAGCAAACTGAATAACAATATCGTAAAATCGCGCTTTTCAAAAAAAAAAAATTGGTGGCGTACTATTTTTATTTGGAAAAATGATGATAGTTCATTCCAGTTGACGGTTTTGAAGATATTAAAAAAAATTGTTTTTATTTTTAAACTTCCCCGTATCTTTTTATTGAAGCCTTTGAGGAAAAAATCTTACAAAGAAGACTCCATTAAAATGCGGTCCTGTGTTCATTTTTCGCCACGACTTGTGAATCGCTCTGAATACATTCCCAAAATTACATTTCAGGAAATTGGACTAAAACATCTCTGCAAATAATCAAACCAATACCGCAGAAGGGAGACCCTTGTGCGCGGGTAAAAATTTATAATTTGCCGCAATAACAGCTTAAAATACTAAACTGGCACAGTAGTTTTGAAAATAACATATGTAAAGTCACAGAATTTTAATAAAGGGTTAGCTTCAACTAAATAAGAGGATCAAGTTATGTAAAAAATTTGGTTTCAGGCTATATTGGTGCTTTCAAATTTCAATCAATTGTTAAGTGTCATTTCCGGGTATGGTTTCGATTTATATTTCAGTTCTAAATAGAGTTTCGAATAATGTCAAGATTTTGGTCTAAGGCTATATTGGTACCTTTTTGATTTTAATCATTTTTAAAATGTCATGTCTGGGTAGGCTTACGATCTAAATCTTAAGAACTGTATTTGTTTTATCTGTTGTGGTAGCATAATGACACATCTGGGGTCTAAGAAAATAGGACGATAGAGTGGTCCTCATTATATGCATAAGTAATATCATAAGGGCATCCAACTTTTCCGAAAAAAATCTAAAAAACACGTTGCTAAGTAATATTTTAACAAGAAGCATGAGTGCTGGAGGCAACAAAAATCCGAGTCGAGAACGAGGATTTTTGCACCTGCCCGAACGTTTATTGTTAAAAAAACATTACTCTGCATTGTGTTTTTACGATTTTTTTTTCACAGGAAAACATTAGATGCCCGAATGAAGATTATTTCATGAGGAACAGATTATTCTGCATACATATAGCTTACAAAATGTTAATTTTGGCGATAACAGCTGTCAACTTTTGCCGCAGGTAAACTCCACAAAACTTACATACATTTTTTCCAACTAGTGTGTATTTGTAATTCGAAATTGCGCGTTTGTGATTGGCCGAAGTTAAGATGATTGAGGTGGTTATTAAAAATGACTTTTGACAGAAATATCTACCGAACGAAGTATCAGATCGAAAATCATATGTCATTTTCGAGTTACTTGGACGATCTTACCTTAGAATAATCATATATTATTATTGTTATCAACCCTTCAAGGGCGTGTCACCAGATACGACGTAAGGTCCTGGCATTTTACAGCTTCATGTCTTTATAGGTACGTTCCTGTTAAAAAATGAGCCCAATCTAAGGTATGATCTGACAAGTCATTGAATGCCAGCTTGAGAAACTCAAGAACGTAAATACCATATTTCCTTTATTTCGATTCAGGAAAACCTAATATATTTAACACAGAACTCATTGCTGACTGCTGAATAACAAGTCAAAAGTACGTATGTAGTGCCAGTCCTGATGACTGACGCGGCAGCATTGAAATAGTGCAGTGTCAGTTACCAGTGACTGACAGGGCGGTCAATGTGTTATGCAGAGAAAATCGTAGCAAATTTTTACAAGCATCGACCGCCATGACAATTAAACAGTAGTAGTGGTCGTTCACTATTTCGGTTGAAAGGTCGTTCCAAATTAAACAAGCATATTATGTCCCTTACGGAAAAAGATAATCTCCAAATTCTGGGATGGTGATGACATAAGCGAATATTAATCAAATCGTGACGGTACCATTACAACTAGTTTCTTACCAGTAAGAAGTGGCGTCAAGTAAATTGACTACACTTCCCACAACCTCATTCAGAACTTGCTAATTTCGAAGTCAATGCATGAGTTCAAAAGACAGAATCAAATATTCACTAGACATATTAACTTAAGCACGATGTATTGTTAGCCTGTGTATACCAACCTGTATTCAGTTTAATCATATATCGGTGTGCGTAGTATTTTTATCCTACCTCCTCTACTACTCGGTCGATTTTAAAAAATTATAAAGCTTTTTCTTCTTTGGCATAGTAGTGATCTTGTGCGAAAATTCCATCAAATTCAAAGCCCGTCTATAACTTTCCAGTCGGAAATTAGTGACATGGTTTTTCGTGATGTCAATCAACATCATTATCGAAATTTTTCTTGTTTACAATATTTCCTCGCGAGTGGAGTGGAAGGGAAATAATACAAATGAAGTTGATTCATTAATAAACCCATCACGAATGGTATGGACAACACTGAAACCACAATAGGTACACTAGGCCATCATATTTCGAGCCAAATTTAATTTATTCACTTACATACGTGTATGACGTGAATTAATATTTGGTAGTATAATATCAGCGTTGGCAGGTATATGCATGCACTCCATTTATTTGCATTCGAATGAAACTATATTTAGTTCATTATTGCCAGTGGAGTGGCACCTTAATCCCTTTTAATTCCACCACGTAGGTTTTCATCTATACGAGACAATCATATTTTTTCCTCAATATGCTCAATATGACTACGAATATGTTACCTATTATATTCAGAAACCGCAGTCTTACTGTTCCGAATGCAAAATGTGCACTAAACTCAATTCAAATTAAAAAATAGCATGACCAACGTTCTCCTGTTCTATGCTTAACCTTCTTCGGACCATATTTTGCTAGCATGGTTTGTTTTGGCCAGAAGAACATGGAGCTTTATCAACATAAAAACCACATCCATGAAGATGAAGTTTTATCAGTAGAAAGCAGAAGGATACGTTTCAAATGATACAATAGTGGTGCGAGTTTTAATGAGCCAACTGCCTTATTTGTAACCTCATGACTTTTATTTTCAGGCAACACGCATGCCACCATAGTCATGATGGCAGAACGAGGCGTAGACTTCATAAAAGAAAAATGGCTTTCAGCAAGCACACTCGCCAACAGAGGAGGTTACCCGTCCGCGAGCCCAGTAAAAGGAGGTCCAAGCTCAACCAAACTGCCCACTTTTACGACCAGAAGACCTTTTGGTTATGGGCCCAGTCATCTGGACCACCCTTCACAGCCATATTGGCAGCAAGCGCGGCCTTTATCGCAGTACTACCCTCACAGCGGCAATCACTTCAACCATGCTGAGCCTCATAATCATTTCGAACAGTTCAATGGTCAGTATCATAGGGATATCGAGGCAGCGTACGAAATACCTTATTGAGGGAGTACTCGTTGTTTGTAACGTCGAAACTCAACAACTTAAAATACTGTGTCAGTAATTTGTAGTAGCCATATCCGCGTGTGCAGTAGAAATTACTTGGACGTGCACTGGATGCAAATTTGCGACTGTGCATCATCACAGGACAAACCTTCAAGACATTTATAGTAATTCGCCCTACAGAGGGTGTACACTGCAGCGGTGTTACGTATCTTGGAAAGTGAAATTATGTAGTCTTTGCAGTATAACGGTTTTTTGTGACATTATGTAGATTTTCCTTCGAGATGTTAACTTGGGACTAGTTGATGTTCACTTGATGTGCACTCGTTTTGTAGCTGTAAGTTATATACTGTAGCTGGAAGGAAACGGCAGTGCATAGGTGCATAGTGAAGAGTTGTGTGCTAATAATCTGAATTTATGATCATCGCATTGATTTATTGTCTCAAATACACTTGCTTGAGGTGTATCGAAAGCTAGCAATTAGTGGAGCATCGACTTTTTCTTAAACATCCTGGAAATTACATATGTAAATTTACTGAATTTTAAGAATGAGAGAGATGCCATGAGAAAATACCTGGTTGGTGCAGTATATCACAACCAACAGGTGAGAAAATATGCCACAGAGGGGACTATTTATGAAACGTGAAAAAGTTACTTTGCATTATTTTTTATTGCCAGTAATTTAAATTTTGTGGAAATCTACTTCCTGAAAATGTTTTGTGTGTGATGCGTCATTCCTTATCTTCCTTTGACGTGGCTGAATTGCACACAACGCGGATGCAGCGGTGATTTGCCGTAATGCTTCGAAAAGTTTTTGAAAACGCAAAAAATCGGGGATAATCGTAATTTATAACTTTAAAAGTAACCTCCCTTCAGAAAGGACAATACAAATAACCCGTCTGGTACAGCTAATAGATATACTTCATGGGCCGCATATTAAGTTATCATTTTTTCACATATCAAACACCACTGATTTTTTACACGAGCAGACCAATACACACCCACACAATCATCCAGATGCGATTTTGCTACTCTGCTGCTTAACCAATTTTCTTTATCACACTCCACACTCTATATACTATATCGGCATTCTGCAACCAACATGGTATGCTGGGGGATTGTAGCTGATCATTGAGCGTGTCGTTGAGTCATTCCTCCACAGACGACGCTTTTGGTGATGATTACAGCACTTATAGCGGAACAATTTGCACCCTAAGAACTATCTAGTCAGCAAGTTAACATTTTGTCGATTTTTTCTGACACTATATAGTTTTTTTTACTAAATAACCTTGCGGCTTGCCAGCTTGCTTTTGGGTCTTATGATACAAAAAGCTTCAAGGCTCCTTGTTTCGAGTACATTCAAGACAGAAGGAAATCGTGTCTGTGTTTCAAGAAACACTAGGCAGAAAAGTGAATCTAGATAGCATTCATTCAAATTATTCTTTGTTAGATTATATATTCAGTGGGCGTCCATCTATAGTGAACAAAACGATATTGTGATTGAATCGACACTAGGTATAAGCACATATTGAAAGCTTTTAATTTATTATGCCTACAGATATTCATAGAGGCGCGCATTGTGGGCATCTGTATTTTTGGTTTTTATGAAAAAATGCAGATGTCCCATTTGATTCCTGATGACGAACTCGTGAAAGCATATTTCTGTGAAATAAGCTACACAAGTTTTCAACTAGTTCTAAGTTTACGTTTTTGAAATAAACTGTCTCATACCACTTACCATATTGTAGAATCTATAATTATTTACAGAGTATTATTATATTTTTAAATAAATATGTAATAAACTGGGCAAACTGTGCTATTAGAATGTAATCCCAACATCAGCAGCATGGCCTTAAAGAACGATCTTCCCTTGACTGGTTCTTTGAACAGTAATAATAGTTTCTTCTAATGCGAAAGTAGATCTAAATAACCGTCAGTCGAATTTGTTTTATTTGTTAGGTCAACAACATCAATACAGTATCTAGAGGCATTAGAGGGCTGCGCCACGAGTGACACATTTGCGTCATAGTCACATAGGTCTAGCCCAGGTTCCGTACTCTGTATACATCAGTAGCAGATTAGCGTTTAAAAAGTTCTCACGAGAATGTCGTCAAAGTAGGTTAATTCTACACTTAGCGCTGTCATCCGTTGATAAAGGATTTTGTTCGGCACAAGCCACCCTGACAAAAAAGTTAGCTACAAACATCGAACAGGTTTATATAACGAAAATTTTGCATGTTGAATATGCTGTATTGCACAATTTTTTACCCTAAGATTTGGCGCTCTGAGAGAATTTGCTACCCCTCGCTCTCGAAACAGTTTTGTAGGCAGGTACGCTTTCACATTAAGCTATCTCCTGCCAAAGGCTGACCCATCTCCTTCCCCCTTCCTGTGGGCGCCCGACATCAAAACTATGAGTACATCTCGGACGGATGACGATCGGCGGTCCACATCCACACCCACAGCAGTCGAGCGCCGCGACCGATTACTATAGTAGACGACAACGCTCTTAAATTCGTTCACATTTTCTGCCCATAGTCATAGAATGGCTATAGAACCGAGAACTAGAGGCATGAGGACAGGACAGTGACGGATCTGAAAGTTTTCAAATATTTTCTCTTGCAAGTCTGGATGAGATGAGAGATGACTCAATCAAGTCGTTGAAATAAAGGTGATTCTTATATAAATCATCAGTTCTTGATGTACCATCTCTGCGATGGGCATTTCATTACGTTTGTAATGATCATACACTGTGTTCCTTACTTTTAGCAGTTGTTGCTGCACTTAAAAGTATAAATGTCCTCTTGTCAATTCTTTTTTTTATTGGTTTGACACCGTTACGAATAATGTTACAAATTGTAGAATATGGCGTTTTAGTCAGTTCGGCTGTTTTTTAATGAGACTACTATTGCGGCTACCACCAGTTTCACGTAACAGTCCATTATAAACATTAACGCAAATCTGTTGAGCATAAACAGATATTTCAAAAATTACAGCGGTATTCCAGACTGTTATTGCTGCCCCTATCCGTATCATGCTCACTGACTGTATCACTGTCCGAAAAGTATTTGCAAGATGTGTTTCCATCATTCACAGCAGATTTGTACATTATAACTTTCGATGTCCATGAGCCGTCGATCTGCTTGAGCCGATCGTTCGCAAGGGCGGAAAAAGACGTGGTCCATCAGCCCCGATTGTCTGCTTAGAACTGAAAATATACTAAGTGACATATAAATTCGAACACCCAGTTTAAATGGTTTTATTTTAATAAAATTTTGTATAAGTACTTAATGAAGCATAATAAGTAAATGATAAAAATTTCAAAATGTTTGCACTGCTTTAAAGCCCTTTGACCTTTAATAATGTGTGGATGCACTCTGATGTGCTACGCATTCTCCAACGCGTCTAGGCATGCTTCTGATCAGGTGGTCAATGTCCTAATGTGGTATCTCATTCCAGGCAACCACCAACTCCTCTCGAAGTGCTTCTGTAGTCTGAGGAGGACGTTGCAAATTGAGCAATCTCCTACCCATCATATCCCACACGTGCTCAATTGGGGATAAGTCGGGAGATCTTGGTGGCCATGGCAACAATGTGACCGCATTATGTTGAAAGAAGTCTATTGTGACTCTTGCAATATGTGGTCGGGCATTATCTTGTTGGAAAGTTGGATCTGCCAGGGTGTCAAGATAGGGTAAAAGATGGGGTTCTAGAACTTCGTGGATATAACGCTGCGCGTTAATGTTACCTCTGATGAAGATTAAAGGTGACCTGGAACCATAAGCTATAGCACCCCAAACCATAACTCCAACAGTGTGATGAACATGTCTTTCAACAAAAAACTGTGGATTCCTCCTTTCACCACATCGCCTTCTAACCCTGGCACGACCATCGTGCATGCCTAAACAAAATCGAGACTCGTCACTAAAGATAATACTGTTCCATTCCTGATCCCAGAGTGACCGTTGTCTGCACCACTCAAGGCGATTACGTCGGTGTTCTCGAGTTAAAGGGAGGACCCAGTGTGGCCAAGCCAAAACTTCTCATTCGTCGGTAAACACTTCGCATGCCAATAGGTCTTCCGTGTTCTGCAAACCATTTATTTGCAATGGACCTGGTAGTGGAGAAACGGTCCCTTAAGGCCAATAATCTTAGGCGGCGATCTTCACGGTCTGTTGTTCTACGGCGGCGTCCAGTGCCCCTTGCTCTTTGCGTACGGCCTTCTCGAAGCCATGCCTGACAGCACCTAACCACAGTGTCTACACTTCTTTGCACTCTAACTGCAATTGCCCAAAAAGAAAGTCCAGCTTCCCGAAGTCCCACTATACGGCCCCTATCAAACTCACTAAGTTGACGAAATCGTACAGGTCTCCGTACTCTAGGCATCGTAACCGATCGTAAAGGATGTCAAGAACCAAAATCCGCCAACGTTGATTCTTTACTGCGGCTGAAATATTCATTTTTAGAGCGTTAGTGAATTAAAAAAAAGCAGTATAAAAGCCGGAATGTCCAACTGATAAGGCTGAAAATTTTTTCACTTGTTATTTACAGTAAGATAAATACATTCACCAACTTTTATTAAAATAAAACCATTTAAACTGGGTGTTCGGATTTATATGTCACTTAGTATATATTTCCGAGTACCGCTCTGTTGCGTCAGTTCAGGTCTTCATAGCACAGTCACATTATGTGAAGTTGTTGCTCTGACAGTACCGCAACAATGCGATTTTTTAGATTCGCTACATTCAAACCAATTGTATCGAACTATTAGGGATTCTTAGGCTATTGCACATTGCTCAAATGTATAATTTATACAGATGAACAAGATTCCATTGTTATTTATACCATATCATATAATGACCGTGCTATATGGCCCGTCGGTAATACAAGGAAGCAGAAAAAATGTAAATGAATCTAAAAGCGTTATCGTCTACTATACACACATGCATCGGCAGGGTCGCGAGGCACGTGTTATCTACAGACGGGGGCCGGAATTACTTCGCACGCATTTTATGGATAAATGTACGGGAAAATCTGTGATGTCTAATAGGTGTCAAGAATTAGCGAGGCTGGAGGCGTATTTTTATACCAACGTCAAAAAGATATACCCTCCCCATGTCCCTATAACCCTAACTTCCTATTTTTAACCCTAAAAAATGTTTAAAAATTGATCAGGATCATCTGAAACGTCAAAAAACGAAATTTGGGCGATTTGTTTTTTTTCTATTTTTGCTCGTAGTTTCGCCTCCACTTGAACGATTTTCAAAAAACATAATGCCCTTTTATCCTTAACATAGTAGAAACCTATTGCAAAAAATGCACCAATCTTCTACCAGTACTTTCCAAGTTATAACGGGATCAAGGATGAGCAGACAGAGAGAAAGATAGACTGACGGTAGTGAGTGGCATGGCTTTTCGAGATGTACATGTCATATAACAATATATTATTTTCTGAATTTTTCGCACAACTACTTTGACAGAATTGTACGATAATAATCTTGAACTGTCACCATGATCAAAGACGTTATCTTCATCGAAAATGTATAGAAAGAAGCTATTAGAGTCCTTTTTGTTTGTGACACATTGACACAGGTCTAGCTTAAGCTTCACACTGGATAAGCATTAATAGCAATTAGTAAACAAAAAAGCTTCACTTCGGTCCTGTATCTTGACTTTACAAACCATCAGGGTGTAAAACGTTATGCCTGAGGATTTATTTTGTATTCACAGCGTGTCGCCCACATCAAAACATCAAATCATCAGGGTAGTATGCATAATCTGATAAGTTGTGCAAATCATGAACGCATTTCCCTTTGACAGATTTGTACGATAAATATCTTGACCTAACCCTATGATCAAAGACGCTATGACACACCCCTAGAAATTCTATATACAGGGTGACTTTGAAGTTGAGTCATTAATTTTCAGATAATGATTGTAGAAGGAAGATAAACCAAAATATGTGTGTAAAAATAAAAAAAAAATTAAAAAAAATGTTTACCTTGTTTTATAAAGTATCCTCCCGACAAGTATTTCAGTGCGGACCTGTATTTGATCGTGAGGTCCCCTGTGAGGTCTTAAGTCACCTGATTCACGAGCCCGTTGTACTACATTAACAGAGGCACGAGGGGTCGGTTGCACTCGATTGGGAAACCGATCCGCATAAACATGTGCCATTTTTTATTTCGTTTGAGCCACGCAACAGACACTATTCACGCGCGTTACCGACTGACACTGACTGTATGTATAACTGAACTGAATAAAATAATTGTAAAAACATCGTTCCAAATTCTTTCGCTTTTTTGTTTCCGATGCGATGAACCGATAAGGCGGATTATATCCGTTGTTGCCAAACACGAGCACATGATATTATTATTGAGACAGGGCGGTACTCAAACTTCCAAAGGGCTATAACTTTGTTACTTTAATTTTACCAGAAAAATGGTAAAGGAAAAAAACTTTTATTTTGATCAGATCACTGTTAAAATAAATGACTCAACTTCGAAGTATACTAACCTGTATACTAACATATAAATCCGAACACCCAGTTTAAATGGTTTTATTTTAGTAAAAGCTGGTGAATGTATTTATCTTACTGTAAATAACAAGTGAAAAATTTTCAGCCTTATCAAATGAATATTTCAGCCGCAGTAAAGAATCAACGTTGGCGGATTTTGGTTCTTGACATCCTTTACGATCGGTTACGATGCCTAGAGTACGGAGACCTGTACGATTTCGTCAACTTAGTGAGTTTGATAGGGGCCGTAAAGTGAAACTTCGGGAAGCTGAACTTTCTTTTCGGGCAATT